CTGACAGGGTGATTGAGGAAGCATGTCATAGGTGTGGTACAAATGGGCATTGGGCACGTGTATGCCGCACACCAAAATATTTGGTTGATCTTTACCAAGCCTCAATCAAGGGCAAAGGAAAAAAGGTTGAGACATATTGGATGGATGCTGATCCAACAGAGTTAGAACCAGTGGATGCAACTCACCTTGATGTCTCAGACTTCTTTGTTGATACTGATGGCAAATCTTTTGATCCTATGATTAGTGATGGGATACTCCCCAATTAATTATGTTGAAATTTTTTTTTGCTTTATGTTGTTTGCGCGCGTTTGAGCTGAGTTTAATTCATGTTTTTTTTTCCCTTTCACATGTTAGTTTGGATCTTTTTCATTGAATAAAATCGAATAAAAGACTTCATTTGAATAACATTTTTTTTCCTGTTTTATTTATTATTTATTTTTATTTTTTTCTTCGAACAACATTTTAATATATATATATATTCTTATAAATTTGAAGGCATGGAAAACAATCATGGATCCTCTCGTCTTGGGAGAAATGACGAAGATATTTGTTTTGCAGATAGTGCAACTACGCACACAATTCTTCGAGATAAAAAATATTTTCACGATTTACATTTATCAAAAGCAAAGGTAACTACCATACTAGGTTCTGCAAACCTAATTGACGGCTCTGGAAGAGCTCAATTTTTGTTACCCAATGGGACTCAATTCTCCATTGATAATGCTTTGTACTCTTTGAGATCGAAAAGAAATTTACTCAGCTTTAAAGACATTCGAATGAACGGGTACCATATTGAAACTAGAAATGATAATAATGTGGAGTATCTTTGCATTACCACCAATATCAACAGCCAGAGGCGTATATTGGAAACACTTCCTGCTTTCTCTTCTGGGTTGTATTATACAACCATCAAAGCAGTTGAAGTCCATGCTATAATGAATTAGAATTTCATTCACTTCATGCTTTGGCATGATCGTCTTGGGCATCCTGGATCCACAATGATGCGTAGGATTATTTCAAATTCAAATGGACATCCTTTAAAACCTTACCATAGTACTTTGTCCATTGACCAGTCTTGCAAAGCTTGCTCTCAAGGGAAATTGATCATTAGACCTTCTCCATCAAAACTTGACTTTGAATGTCCATCTTGTTGGCATACGCGAATCCTACGGCCTCGTGTTCCGGGCCGAGGGGATATACGTCAACACAGGTCGCCTTTCTTTTGGTGCCGTATGGTTTGTGCGAGGGCGTGCCAGCACGGTTTACCGTGCGTTTGGGAATGATGCGGCTGGGTGAATAGATAGGTTGCGCGCCTGTTAAAGTTTGACTTCTAATCAGAGCGATTGTGGCCGAGAGAGGAACTGATCTCGGTCGTCAGGTTCACGGCCTGAGCTACAAGGCCGTTAATGGTGATGTTGATTGTGGTTTTTAGGCGGTGCTTCGGCGCGTCGCTAAGTGGCGACGGTCGTATGATATATGGGATGAACGAAAGAGTAACAAAGATGGTGCTCCGGCGCCTTGAAAATCAAGAGTCGTAGGATATATTGATGAATGGATTTTCCTACAAACTGCCACTACTCCTAAGAAAGCAAGTAAATGTATTGAAATGGCATTACAAGAACGTAAATGACAGGAAAATATAATCTGCTCCGTGGGAGGCTTGTGTTTGGTGTTTGAACCCCTTAAATGTAGTTGGAGCTCACTATTTATAGAGAAGGTCCTGAGGAGACAATGAAGCTGAGAATCTGCATGGTGAGGTTGATCAGAGCTAGTGGGCAGTCGAGTCGGCATTTGGGAACGTGAAGCATGGTGGTGTGACACCCATAAACCCCGGCCGCCGCCCTGGTGGTGGGCTCTGTATCTCGGGCCTTGGAGGGGCATTTAATGCCCTGGTCTGATGGTTGGTGGCTTAGCCTTACAAAATCATGGGATTTTCGCACCTAATCCCTGATTTTGCTCACCATATCTGACTTCAATCACGACCCCTCTTTCTTGGCTCATTAAATGCTCCTACGTGGATCATGGTCTTCCTGCTGTGATCAGAGGCACTACTTCATTAAATGAAGCGTGGGACCATGATGCCACGTGGCGATGCCACTTGATTTTCTTACTTTGGCCGTGTATCTGAGGAGTTTGTCCTCGGTTGTGACCTAGGCCGTGACGACTTTGAATCATAACTCACTTTTGTTTTTAACAAAAGGAAGAACGATGACCTGGTCGTGGATAGACGCTAGGGCCGAGCTGTTGTTCCTTCGGCCAGCCTCCTTCGGTTAGCTTCCTTGGCCGAGTTTTATTAAGCACAAACACATCTTTCTTACAGAGAATTCAAGGGGATATTTGTGGGCCAATTCACCCATCTTGTGGACCATTTCTTTATTTTATGGTTTTAATTGATGCATCTACAAGATGGTCACACGTTTGCCTATTGTCAACTCGTAATGTTGCTTTTGCTAGGCTCCTTGCTCAGATAATTAAATTACGAGCACAATTCCCTGATTATCCAATAAAGTCAATTCGACTGGATAACGCTGGTGAGTTTACCTCCCAAACTTTTGATGCCTATTGCATGTCACTTGGGATTGATGTTGAGCACCCAATTTCCCATGTCCATACTCAAAATGGATTAGCTGAAGCTTTTATTAAGCATCTCCAGCTTATTGCTCGCACTTTGCTATTGAAGAAAAAGTTGCCAATTTCTGCTTGGGGACATGCAATTTTACATGGAGCATCCTTAGTCCGCTTGATGCCCATTACCCACCACCAATTCTCCCCTTTACAACTTGTCTTTGGGAGACAACCCAATATATCACATTTAAGGGTCTTTGGTTGTGCAGTTTATGTGCCAATTGCACCCCCACAACGCACTAAAATGGGTCCTCAACGTCAATTGGGAATTTACATTGGTTTAGATTCACCAACTATCATTCGTTATCTCAAACCTATGACAGGAGATACTTTTACAGCACGTTTTGCGGACTGTCACTATGATGAGACATTCTTCCCGCCGTTAGGGGGAGAAAAGACCGTTCCTGAAGAACAGCGAGAATTGGGTTGGAACATATCCATTATGTCTCATCTTGACCCTCGTACAACTCAAAGTGAAAATGAAGTACGAAAAATTGTTCACCTCCAGCAAATTGCTAATCAAATGCCAGATGCATTCACTGATACAGGAAAAGTGACAAAATCACATATAACTGAAGCAAATGCACCAGCAAGGATTGATATCCCAATCGGATTAACCAATGTTGCAGCAAATGAATCATCTACTGCACGCCTGAAGCGAGGTAGACTCATTGGTTCCAAGGACTCAACTCCTAGAAAGCGAAAATCGAAAGTATATCCCAATCCCAATGGAAACGCTAATGAAGATATTATTGGGAAAGAGATTCACCTTGAATCTACAATTCATCCGGAGAATGAAAGTGTCATTGAAAAGACACAAGCCACTGAAGAGGAAAAGATACCTAATACAGAAATTTCTGTAAATTTCGCATGCAATGATGAATTATGGGACCGTAGTGAAATGGTTATCGATGATAGTTTCTCTTTCGCAGTAGCTGCTGAGATTATAAAAGGTCATGAAGATATTGAACCACGATCTGTTGATGAATGTAAAGGAAGGCCTGATTGGCCAAAGTGGAAAGACGCAATCCAAGTTGAGTTAAATTCCTTGGAAAAACGTGGTGTATTTAGACCTGTGGCTCAAACACCACAAGGTGTAAAACCTGTGGGATATAAATGGGTGTTCACAAGAAAGCGTAATGAGAAAAATGAGATTGTAAGGTATAAGGCACGACTCGTTGCGCAAGGTTTTTCTCAAAGGCCTGGGATTGATTATGAAGAAACATATTCTCCCGTTATGGATGCAATTACGTTCCGTTATTTAATAAGTGTTGCAGTTTCAGAAAAATTTGACATACGTCTTATGGACGTTGTTACTGCATACTTGTGTGGGGAGTTAGATGCTAATATTTACATGAAAGTCCCAGAAGGACTCAACTTGGCAGAATCAAACACTAAATCACAGAACATGTATTCCATTAAGTTGAGACGTTCACTATATGGGTTGAAACAATCCGGACGAATGTGGTATAACCGTCTTAGTGAATATTTGATTAAGGAAGGCTACATCAATGATCCCATATGCCCTTGTGTTTTTATAAAGAAATCAAATTCTGGATTTGCAATCGTAGCAGTGTATGTCGACGACATGAACTTAATTGGAACTCCTCAAGAGATCATTAAAACTGTTGAATATTTAAAGGGTGAATTTGAGATGAAAGACCTTGGAAAAACTAAATATTGTCTGGGCTTGTAGATCAAGCATCATCCCAATGGTATTCTTGTCCATCAATCAGCTTACACTAAAAAAATCTTGAAGCAATTTTATATGGATAATGCCCACCCGTTGAGCACTCCAATGGTAGTTCGTCCATTAGACACAAATAAAGATCCATTCCGTTCTAAAGAGGATGATGAAATGATACTTGGTCCAGAAGTTCCATATCTTAGTGCAATAGGTGCTTTATTATATTTAGCCCAATGTACTAGGCCAGATATTGCATTTTCAGTAAATTTATTAGCCAGGTATAGCTCGGCTCCAACACATAGACACTGGAATGGTATAAAGCATATCTTGCACTACCTTCGTGGAACAACTGATATGGGCCTGTTTTATTCGTACGAACCTTCCAACGGTCCAAATCTTGTTGGATACGTGGATTCTGGGTATCTCTCCGATCCACGTAAGGGTCGCTCCCAAACTGGTTATGTGTTTACTTGTGGAAATACAGCAATCTCATGGCGATTTACAAAACAAACTTTGGTTGCTACCTCTTCTAATCATGCAGAAATTCTTGCGCTCCATGAGGCCAGTAGAGAATGTGTTTGGTTAAGATCCCTAGTTCTTCATATTCGGAAAACATGTGATCTTTCTTCAACAACAAAAGCTCCGACAACCATGTATGAAGACAATGCTGCTTGTATAGCTCAAATTAAAGAAGGGTTTATCAAGGGTGATAGAACCAAACATATACCACCAAAGTTCTTCTACCCACATGAGCTTAAGAAGAATCAAGAGATTGAAGTCAAACAAATTCATTCCCAAGATAACCTGACAGACCTCTTCACCAAAGCTCTTCCAAAGTCTATATTTCAGAAGTTGGTATATGGTATAGGAATGCGATGACTTTACAAGCAATCAGATTGTTGAAGATTAGGGGGAGACATCAATCGCGGAAACTCCTCAGTTTTACTAGATTGA